GTGAGCGCCGGGCTCCACGGCCCCAGCACCCAGGGGCCTCACCTCCTGGGCGTCTGCGCTGACACCCACTGCAGGGGCCGCCAGAAAGGGGCCCTTGTTATTTCCCTAATTGTTGTTTTTTGGGGGATGAATACCAAAGACAACTTTTATTTATTAGTAAAACGCAGAAACCCAGGTCTCTCAAATCCACACCCTCCCCAGCTGTTCGGCAGGCTCTGCGCCGAGACCCCGGCAGGGTAACGAGGACCACGGGTCTCCTGCTGAGAGGGAGCTGTTGTGGGTTCGGATTTCCGTCCTGCTTCCTCTGACTTCTCCTCAACCTGGGCTCTTACTACTTACTGGTTTGGGAGACAGGTGCGCTCGTTGGTTGATTCTTGCCTGTTCTCTGACCAGGAACTGAGCCCACCTTGGTGTATCAGGTGGCACCAACCAGCTGAGCAGTCACCCAGGACTGACAGGGGCCCCTCTTAGAACAAAACTCAGATGTTGTGTCTCCACACACTCTGACCCAGCGGGCCCTGGGGGAGCGGTGTGCCGTGTGGCCCCGGCCTGGCCCTGACTGTGCTCCCCTGCAGTTCACCTGGTGTCTAGACGCCTGCATCCGGGAGCGCTTCGTGGACAGCAAGAGGGCCCGGGAGCTGCAAGGCTTCCTCGACGGAGTGAAGAAGGGTCAAGAGCAAGTTCTGGGGTGAGGGTTGGCCTCTGTGGGCCCCCCAGCCCCCCAGAGTCCCGTCTTCCAGCATGTGGCGAGCACACTATGTCCGCTGCAGTGTCTGGTCCAGCTTGTTTTAGAGGAATGCCCAGGAGCCTGTGCTCACAGCTGAGACTCAACCCTAGTGCCCGTGGCGGGGGCCCTTCCTGTACACGTGTGGGGCCCTGGGCAGAAGTGGCTCCGTCTGGGTCAGGCCCTCAGAACCAAACGTGCCCTAAACTTCTTGAGAACTTTTCTAACTCTGCAGGATTTTGAGTTAGCTCAATGCAGGTTTTGGAACTGTGAGCTTTTTTGGGGAAGGGGGTCCAAAGTGGCCTGGGCTCACTGCATGTAGTGGGCCATCTTGCCGGGTCACAGGCCGAGGTGGCTCAGCCTGTGGCTGCCCCCTGTGGGTCAGTAGCTTTTCGTGTTAACTCCATGGTCTGTCTCTGTAGGGACCTGTCCATGATCCTGTGCGACCCCTTCGCCATCAACACCCTGTCTCTGAGCACAGTCCGGCACTTGCAGGAGCTGGTCGGCCAGGAGACGCTGCCCAGGGTGAGCTCGCTCCGCTGGCCACGGGCTGCCTTCCGGGTGGGCGCCTGAGCAGAGCATGCAGCCTCCACTTGCACACCCCCCCCATGCTCGGCCAGTGCCTGGGGGCCTGGGAGTGAAGTCCTGGTGCCCGCTCACTGCTGAACAGCATGCGGGGTCGGGAGACAGTGGGGCTCAGGGCACGGACCTGAGGCCCCTCCCCTCCCCCTCCAGGACAGCCCTGACCTCCTGCTGCTGCTGCGGCTGCTGGCGCTGGGCCAGGGGGCCTGGGACATGATTGACAGCCAGGTCTTCAAGGAGCCCAAGATGGTGAGGGGTCTGGCAGGGCCTCCCCTGGCTTTCGTGCCAGGGACTGGCATGGGCGTGGTGGCCCAGGGGTGGAGCCGGGCAGCCCCAGGCTGCAGCTCCCAAGCCCTGGGCCTTCGGCTTCCTGCCCCAGGAGGCGGAGCTCGTCACCAGGTTCCTGCCCACGCTCATGTCCTTCGTGGTGGACGACCATGCCTTCAATGTGGACCAGAAGCTCCCTGCTGAGGAGAGGGGCCCGGCCGCCTACCCAAACACGCTTCCCGAGAGTTTCACCAAGTACGGTTGGAGGGTGTGGGTGAGGGCCGGGCCCTCAGCCCCCGTGCGAGGCGGCGCCACTCAGGGCTGGGTGCTGGTGCCGCAGGTTCCTGCAGGAGCAGCGCATGGCCTGCGAGGTGGGGCTCTACTACGTGCTGCATGTCGCCAAGCAGCGGAACAAGAACGCGCTGCTGCGCCTGCTGCCCGGGCTCGGTGAGTCCGTGGGCGTCGCCGGCTTGTGCCCCCACGCAGTGGGGGTCCCTGGGCGCTGTCCCAGAGCAGGAGTGGGAGGGCACCACTGCTGTTGTCGTCCGGAAGCCCTCGGTGGCGGGGGAGCCACCCCGATTGCCCAGGGAGTGTGGCCCTGACGGCCTCAGGCGAGCCCCTCGAGGTGGTAAAGAGCCTGGGGGAGCGGGGGCAGGGCACTGGGAGCCAGGAAGGAGGGAGGTCGGAGTGGGCTGCAGGCTGTGGGGTGGTGGGTGGCGGGTTCTGGCAGCTCCTGGCTGTCCCACGCGCACCCGGCCCCGGGGGCCTCTGCTGACTGGGTCGGGTCTGCGTGAAGGTCATGCGCGTTTCTCGCTGAGTGTGTTTCCAGGTCGTTGGTGCGTCCAATGGGGAAGCTCGAGTTGCTTCCCGACTTCCCCCTGTGGAGGAAGCTGTCCCTTTGTGGGTGTTAACTAACACCCAGCCACCACCTAACCCGCAGCTTGAACTCGCTCCCTTCCCGTTCTGGAGGTCAGAGCCTGTCGGATGTGGCTGTCCAAGGCTCCGGTCCATGTGTGGGCAGGGCCAGCTGCTCCTCCACGGCCCCTGTCCCACTGCTCCTGTCCCCAGGTCTGTCCGTCTTGACTGGCCCTCCCGTGTCCACCTCCCCCTCAGCGGGACCCCACGCGGACACAGGGCTGCGTGCGGTCATTCCCCATCTCTGGCCCCTTAGCTTCCGGGTCACGGGGCATGTCTCTGGGCACACCCAGGAACAGGGTCACAGATGCCGTGTGTGCCACGTCCTTCCTGCTGGTTTTGCTGCTCTCGTTATTGTCCTCTGCCGGTCAGCTGGAGACAGGTGTCCTGCTGTGGCCGGGGCACCAGTGTCCCCCCACCTGTTGTAGCCACCGGCAGGCGCAGGAGGGACCCGCTCCTGGTTTCTGTTACTGGCGGTTCTGGGAAGCACAGGCGTCAGTTTACACACTCTCTTCGGTTTGTTTTTCCACTTCTTACTGTGGGATTGCGACCCTGTGCCCACCGCCCACCTCCACTGGGTCCGTGTGTGGCCCCGCCCCGCAAACCGTCCGTGGGTGGCGTGGCCAGTGTGCCGACAGGGGAAGGGCGTTCTTAACGACGTGTCGCCGGGGGTGCCTCGGACACGCCGGGGCTGCATTCCCAGGGGTCCCCCGTTTTTGTCTGGCTGGTCTGTGTATATCGGGAGACTGACCAGGTGCCCCGTCCCTGCTTGTGCAGAGATTCGTGTCCCTTATGCTATTTCTTTCGGGTTTTGATGTCCATGGTTTCAAAGAAACACAGTGTTCCTCTGCTTTGTCCCCTCCGTGAGGATGGAGCACCCCCGGCCGGTGCTCTGCCTTGTCTGTCCCCTTGCTGTCCTCTAGACCCCACTCAGGCCAGAGTCCTCTAGGCTCCCTCGCTGTGGCCCCGCCTCCCACTTGGGCCCAGGGCGTCCCCGTGTGGGCACAGGCCTGCTCTGGCTCTCCCCACAGGGGGACGTCCGCTCCCGGAAGGGCTGCCTCCCTGCCCCCAGGGTTCTCTGGGAGCGGGGCCCAGGGCTGGCCCGGCGAGGGCGTGGGTGGTGGGCAGCTGGCTTGACGCCCGCTGTGCCCGCAGCGGAGGCCTTCGGAGACCTGGCCTTCGGCGACATCTTCCTGCACCTGCTCACGGGGAGCCTGGCGCTGCTGGCTGACGAGTTCGCCCTGGAGGACTTCTGTAGCAGCCTCTTCGACGGCTTCCTGCTCACGGCCTCTCCGAGGTACCTGGGCTGCCGGGTGGGCGGCCGGGCGGCTCCCGTGGGTCCCGCTGCAGCAGCCCCTGCAGCCGCTGCGACTTCTTCTAGGAAGGAGAATGTGCAGCGGCACGTGCTGCGGCTGCTGCTGCACCTGCACCCCCGCGTGGCTCCCGCCCGCCTGCAGGCCCTGCAGAAGGCTCTGGAGCCCACCAGCCAGGTGGGTGCCGCCCACGCCCAAGCCTCACACCGGGGGTCCCCACCGGGGGCCTGACCGCAAGCCTGTACTCCCCACAGAGTGGAGAGGCGGTGAAGGAGCTCTACTCCCAGCTCGGGGAGAAGCTGGAGCAGCTGGACCATCAGAAGCCCAGCCCAGCCCAGGCTGTCGAGACCCCAGCCCTGGAGCTGCCCCTCCCCACTGTGCCAGCCTCAGCTGGGCTCTGACGCTTCCTCCCCTGGGGCCCTGCAGGGCCGCTTGGCCCTGGTTGCCGGGAAGAGGCTCCCTGACCTCAGATCACCAGGGCCCGTGTCTCCTGGAGGCAGAGAGCTGCTCCTGGGGGTGGGCAGTGGGCTGGGCTGGGACACTGGGTTGCCACCCCCTTGGTGCCACAGCCACACCCTGACCTGGGTCTTGAGCTGTGTGCCTGAACGCCACCTGTGCCCTCACCCCAGGCAGGTGCCCGGCCAGAGCCATGAAGCAGAGCCTCTGCCCCAACGCCCTGCACCTGGTCTCCCACTGCTGTGCGCGGAGGCTGCTGCAGCCTGTGTGGGTGCCCGTGGCTGGAGGGGGGCAGCGGGCAGGGGCACAGGTCGCGGCGCTGCTGGGTCAGCCAGGCCCTGCAGGGACGGAGCCCTCCTGCCCTGGCCAGCAGCGCCCTGGGAGCAAGCATGGCCCGAGGCCCGCCTACCCCTCTGCCTTCCCTGGGAGCAGGTGCCCCGGCTCAGGCACTGTCTCAGCAGGCGAGGCTTCCGTGTAAATAAAGGCTTTGTGGTCAGTCCTGGGGAGGAACGTTTCTGTGCCAGTGGCTCGTCAGAAGCTGCCTGGGGCCAGGCACCTTCTCCAGGGATGTTGCCGACATTGTGGGCCACACTTGGGTGGGAGGGCCTGGGTGTGCACATCCTGTCAGGCTGCTCAAGGCCACCAGACGGGGCTGGCCCCACTGCTTCCGCCAGCAGGGACATGCAGAGAAGGTCCTGCTCTGTGGAGGCCAGTGACTTTGACGGCAGTTCTGCAGGTGTGGGGGCAGCTGAGGAAGGCAAAGATGGGGGTGATTAGGAGGAGCTTGCTTTTCTTAGGAAGGAAAACGTATGTTTGCATTGAGGGGAATGACCCAGGGAGGGGCAGTGGCTGGCTGTCACTGGGGGGGTGAGGCCAGGACACTGGGTGGCCCTGCGAGAGAGAGGACTTTCTCAGGGAGTCAGGTCTGAGAGTGCAGGTGCTTGGGGTTCCCATCCAGCTGCTTCCAGCTCTGGGAAGCAGGGAGCCTGGACTTGGGTTGCTTTCGGATGGGCAGAGCTGGGGCCCAGGAGAGCGGACCCGAAAGACGCCTGCCACGGGAGGAGCCTATGGGCAGATGGGACCTGCCTGAGGCGCAAGGTTGAGGAAGACGGAGACAGAACAGATGGGTCAGCCCAGCCGGGAGGTCGCTGGGTGGAGGGTGTGGGTGGGCGTTGCTGGGTCAGCTTCCAGCAGAATCCGCCACCAGAGACGCTCGACACCCCAACCTTCCCCTTGTCGGAAGAAGCCTGGTGCCGGGTATTGGGGCAGAGCCAGGGCAGCGTCCTCCTGCCCAGGTCATCAGGCCACACAGTGGGTGAGGTGCCCCAGGGGTCTCCCAGCACCCAGCCCTGCAAGGCCTGGGGGCAGTGGCTCCTCAGCAAGGGCAGCAGGGCTGTGGGGCACAGAGATGCTGCCAGAGGCCCCTGGACAGATGGGTGGACAGGAACTCCATGCCTCGCCATAAGGCCTATGAGTCCTGTGCTCCGGGGAACAGGAAGCACCACGCCTGTGACCGTCCCCCAGTGCCGGTGTACAGGTACAAGCTGGAGCTCGGGGGAGGGGTCTGTGTGGTGTGGGGTGTGCCACAGGGAGGCAGTGAAGGGATTGGTTGGCCTTCGAAGGGGGACCCCAGACAGGACAGACGGCTGGGCCTGCGTGTTGCAGGTGCCAAGGCCAGTCGGGGCCTCACTCATCCCCGGGGGGTGGAGGGCAGAGTGTGCTGCCGGTGGCCTGGGCTTGTTGCCAGGACGCGCGCCCACCCAACCGCGGTAGGAGACAGGCAGGGCCGTCTGAGCAGAGGTGGGGACTGGTGGGGCAGGGCCTGAGTTCTTCCTAAACATGCCGCCCCCCCCCCGCCCCCCCCCGGCCCTGAGCACATGGGGGTTGGCTTCCTGGTGCTAGAGCTGGTGTCTGCCCTGCCGCACTATCCACGGGGCTCCAGGCTGGGGCGTGGGAAGAGGAAGGGGGTGGGGGTGCCCTGGTAGAGGGATAGTGAGGGAGAGAAATGAGCCCTACTTGGGGGACCAAACAGGTCAGGGGAGGGTTGAGGAGTTGGACAAAGCAGGGGACTACCCTTCCCCAAGGGGCCCTGCGGGGGGTTGGTGCCAGAGATGTCCCTGGGGTCCTGGGGCAGGGGGGTGGCCTTAGGCTGATCAGGCACCTCAGGCCTGCAGGGCCAGAAAGGGTAGGGGACCTGCTGGTCAGGGGCCTGGGAAGCAGGCGGGCCTCCCTGCCCGGCGCCTCCGTCCAGCCCAAGTCCCGCCCTCGCCACACACCCCTGACTCACTTCCTTTGCTTAGAAGCGGAAACCTCCCCCAGCTTCCTCTGCGCTGGACACTCCCTGGGGACCCGCAGGTGCCACTGCCCCTCTAGGCCCGGTTGGCCAGGGAGGCCCCAGACCCTGACCCCAGCCTGACCCTTGGAGGGAGGCCGGCGTTTTCTGCTTCCCCAGCAGCGGACCTCGGTGTGCAGGCGGGCAGGGGGGCTGTCCTGGGGGCGGGGGCCAGCTGGAGCCTGGCCTGACGCAGCTGCAGGTATGCGGATGGTTTGGGGGGCCCCGGGCTGCACCCTGGGTCTTTTCAGCTGTCCCCTCAGCAGCTCTTCCTTCTTGCACTCTTCCCTTCTGTCCATCTTCCTGGGGGCCGCGATGGGGCCCATTCTGAAAAGCAGAAGTTCTGGCCAGACCCTCCCCCCTCCCCCTCAAGTGTTCTTAAGTGCGAGATGTCTCTCAGCTCCAGGGTCTCAGCCTCTGCTTCCCTGTGGCCCCTCTCGGGACACCGAGTACCCGGCGCCTGGCAGTCGGAGCTGCGAGTGGGGGCGGGGTCCGGCCTTGACCCCTCTTGACCCCTAATCTGCAGCAGGCCGGACCATCCCCTCCCCCAGGAAGCCCGGAGGCTGACCGATAAGCCACACCCTGTCACCCCCATTCCCAGCCACTTCTTCAGGGCCCTGGGTTCATGGGAGGACCCGAGGGATTTGCATGGGGCCCCGCAGGAAGCTGCTTCCTGGTCGGAGGGGGCGAACCTCTGGGAACACGCCCGGGCCTTGGGGCCGCCTGGCCGCATTCCGGCCTCCCAGCGGGGTGCGCTCTCTCGGGTGAAGGGTCCCAGTCCACAGGACGTCAGCCTGGAGACCCTCCCGTCTTCCTGTTGCAGGGAGGGCGACCTGCATGTGAGTGCCGCCTCTGTGCCATGGACCACGGTCAGCCCAGCGTGGAGCCCGTGGCCACGGGCCCCAGAGCCCTGGACAGGAGCGTGATGGCGCCGCTGCGCGCCGTGGTCCACCTGCGCCGCCGCGTACGCCTCCTGCGCAAGAGGCACCTCTTTACCCCAGGCGCCGGGCTGGACTCCGGGCATCTGGCGCCCCGCAGGGATCCGGACCAGCCGCAGATCTTCACTTTCGACAGCCCCACAGAGCTGTCCACAAGGACGCCTCGCAAGAGGCGCCGGCGCAGCCGCGTGGTGCTCTATCCCGAGACCTCCCGAAAGTGCCGGCCGCGCGCAGAGCGCCGGAGCCGCGCACAGCGCTGCCTGTTGTTGCTCGTAGCCATCGTGGGCTTCCAGGTGCTCAACGCCATTGAGAACCTGGATGATAACGAGCAGCGCTACGACCTCGACGGGCTGGAGAAGGCGCTGCAGCGCGCGGTGTTCGGCCAGCCGGCTGCTGTGGCGCGCATCGTGGCGCTGCTGCGAGACTACCTGTCCACGCACGTACACAGCCGCCCACTGCTCCTGGCCCTCCACGGACCCAGCGGAGTGGGCAAGAGCCACATGGGCCGCCTGCTGGCGCGCCACTTCCGCGCGGTGCTCGAGGACAGTGAGCTCGTGCTGCAGTACCACATGCGGCACCACTGCCCGGAGCCGCGCGCCCCGCAGGGCTGCCGCGAGGAGCTGGCGCGGCGGGTGGCTGCGGTGGTGGCGCAGGCCGAGGCGGAGGAGAAGACCCCGCTCCTGGTGTTGGACGAGGTGGAGCTCATGCCGCAGGCTCTCCTGGACGAGCTGCACAGCCTCCTGCAGCCGCAGCGCTCGCATCACTTCCACAACGCCGTCTACGTGCTGCTGAGCAGCGTGGGGGGCGCGGAGGTCACGCGCTTCGTGCTGCAGAACGCGTCCCGCTCGCAGCCGCCGTGGCCCAGCGGCCCCACGCGCGGCGCCCGCGCCGAGGAGGAGCTGAGCTCTGGCCTGAGGGCGCTCTTGGTCCGCGAGCACCCGCTTTGGCAGACCGCAGCCATTGTGCCCTTCTTGCTACTGGACAAGCGGGACGTGGTCAGCTGCTTCCGGGAGGAGATGGCAGCCGAGGGCTTCTTCCCAGAGCAGGCCCGCGCAGAGCTCCTAGCCGAGCAGCTCAGCTACTACCGAGTCGCCGGCCGCGAGTTCGCTGTCACGGGCTGCAAGCAGGTGGTGGCCAGGGTGAACCTCCTGTAGCGCGGGCCGAGGTGGACGATAGGGGTCCGGGTCCCGTTAAATGTTGGGTGGCAGGAGTGGGAAGAGACCTGTGGGTTTGCCCCAGGCCTGAGGCCCCTAATAAATCTGCCTGTGGAGACCTTCCTGGTTCATAATTCCAATGCCGTCTCCCCAGAGCGCCCTGTCTGCTCCCTCGGGGAACTCGCCACCTTCCTCAGCGCCTGTGTGTGCCCTGCCCAGGAGGTGGGCAGTCTGTCCCCATGGTACAGAGGATGGTGGTTACACAGCTGGTCCCCTGGAGAGCCGGCTGTGACTGCAGCAGCCGTCACCCCCCCCCCCCACTGCCGCTGCCACACACGCTCACCCTGGGGACCCAGAGGCAGCTGGTCTCCAGCGCGAAGAACCGCAGGGACTGCCTGGGCTTCCAGTGGCCTCAGGCCCAGGAGGCAACTGTGTGGGAGGAGGTGTGTGTCCACTTGGGGAGCTGACCCAGTGGAATCACCTGAATGCAAGGTGCAGGGGGCTGGTTCAGTGTGACAGAGTCCGGAGGTGGCCCAAGTGGGGAGCCTTGACCTCTCCGATCCCCCTGCCTTGGCTACTAACCTGTCCCAGGGAGGCACCTGAGTGTACATCTGAGACTCAGGGGCAGAGCTGTAGTCCCACTGCTGCCCAGGCCTCTGGGGGGAAGCCAGCCCAGACCCACCCCAGTCCCACGCCACCCCCTGCTCTGCAGTTACCTTTTGTGCCGTGACTCCCAGAAAGTGTCCCCCACCCTCTCTCCTACCGATTGACCAGGTGGCTTCAGTGCTGCCACCTGGTGGCTGCATCTCCCCACTGCCCTTACCTGGAGCCCAGCCCACCAAGAGGGTTGCTTTGGTTGTGGTGGTGGGGGTGGGGGGAGAGCGTGGGATGCTCAGATGACATGTGCCCCCACAACAACCAGTCCCAAAAGGGGGATGGATGGGAGGGGCCCTCATGGTGGGGGCACCGCCATGGTGCAGCGGAATACTCCAGGAGCTCCATCCTCTGGCAGGTGTGGAGTGTGCCTGGCGGGAGGTTGTACAGCCCCACCTCGGAACTCAGCCTGCCCCCTGCCTTCCGGACCATGGGCTTGCTTTCCTAGAAAGGCTGGCTCACAGGCTGGCTCCCCGAGGGCCCTGTGTGGTCTCAGCTCCTGCCCCCACCATTTTTGGCTCTGGGCAGAGGTCTGGCCAAGGTGAGGGGATTGGGTCCCTGCACCTGGAATCTCCGGGGCTCGCCAGGCCAGCAGACCCTGGGCTCAGGGCAGGAAGGAGGGGCCCTGGCTGGCGTCCTGCCCAGGGCGGCAGGATGCTCCCCGCTGCTGGGGCTCCCCGGGAGCTGGGTGTGGTGGTCTGGGAGCCCCAGGGCCATGCCGACCCCCGCCCCAGTCTGCCCTAACCCCAAATGCTGGGGGGCAGCTGGAGGTGGCGCCCTTGGCCAGGAGACTGCTCCGGAGGGCTGCGTGCAGCCCTGCTGTCCCTTGTCAGGTCGATCTTCTCAAGGTGTGTGTGACAGATGGCACCCAGAGGCCCGAACTCCTTTGTGACTTCATGTTGTGCCTTTTAGTTGTCCTACTTTTTCTGTATGTCTTTCTTCTTATTACTTGCTTTTTGGGGTTCCCCCAATGTGCTGTTCCATTTTTCTCCTTAATGCGTTGGCAGTTACCCTACAGCCCTAGTCCACCCTCACGTGAGCAGGTCCACGGCCTTGGGGGGGGGTGGGAGTGTGCGCATCGCCCTTGAGCCCGGCTCTGTGGGGCCAGCAGGGAGGTCTGCAGATGTCACAGCAGTTGGTGGGACATCCTCGTCCTTGAAGAGTCACTTCCTCTTCTTGGGCTTTTCCCCTCAGAACTTGATTTTGCTGAACCCTTGGGAAAGCCTTTGGGGGCTCATTGGAGCTACACGCCCTGTGGAAGGATTGGGGGGTCCGGGCGACTCCACATGGCGGCTTGGTGGTGTTCTGCACACAGGCCTTGCTCATTTCTAGTATTTACTCCTAGAAACCGTATAATTTTTGGTTGGTGTCGGGAAGGGTGGTGCTGTGTAACACAACATACATTGAGAAAAGTGTCTTAAGCAAAATACACATTGACGTTTTTATCACAAGGCAACTGCCCATGTGCATGCCCTTTGGGTCAAGAAACACAACACCGCCCGTCTGCCCAGAAGCCCTGTCGGCTGAGAGAGACCACCGTCCAGATGAGGTCAGGCTCTGTCTGCCGACACCGCGGCCAACTCGGCCACCCCTCTGTTGCAAGGCAGCCCCGCCTCCCAGTGCCAGTGTGGGGTCTCTCACAGACCCCACAGGCTCCTCCCTCTGCACCTGTCCCCACCCTTTCCCCTTGGTCCCCCACCCCTGTCATTAAGTAGGCCAAGAAGTCTTGGGCCGGAACTCTCCCCAAAGGGGAGCATAACCCAGAATGTGACAGAAACTGTGAGAATTGCAGGACTGGATGTCCCTCGACGTCTGTCTCTGCTACATTTTTGACGGTCCTGCAGCTGAATCTGGGAGCACTGACCTCTGACACCACTGGTCAGCTGCCACCTCTTTATCGGCAAAGCCTGTGACAGATTTGGCAGAATCCTCAGTGTATCTCCAGCTGAGCTTCAAACAGAACTTCAAGGCCTTTCCCAGGGTCATTCACTCTTCAGAGGTCCTTCTAGGCATCACGCCCACCACTGAGGGCACATGACTCGGGCCCTGGCCCTGTTACTTGTCCCTGTAACAGTCTGTTTCACCTGTGACAGCCAACACTAAGGCTGGGCATGTGTCCAGGACCTCCAGCAGTGAGCACGTGGTCATCCCTGGACACCCCTGGACGTCCTGGCCCTCCCACGCTGCTGGCCCCTATCCCAGCTGGAAGTCCGTCCTTTCCTGGAGCTGATTCAGCCCCCAGTGCCTTCCTGAAGGAAGGCAGTGGTTCCCGGGCAGCAGCCTCGGGGTTTCCTGCGAGCCCCTCCCACTTCTCCAAAGTCCTGCGACCTCCCTGGTCGCTCTCTCGCACCTCCTCCTGGGAAGACAACATCCACTTACTAAAAGCTTTAGCCTTTAAGGGACCTGCAGTCGCCAGGGGAAAATGGCAGTTTGCCCAAACCCAGGTTCCATACTCGGGCCGAACCAGCGCTGCACCTGGACTCACCTGAGCTTCCTGGCACCCTAAGCCTCCCAAGGCCCCCAGGCATGCACCGGTGGCAACGCTCTCCCTGCCTGGCCCACTGCTGCCAACGGTGGGTACCGACCATCTCTTGTGGCCCAGCCTCTGTGTGTTGACTGGAGACTGAGGGGTCCTGACCCAAGTTCATGGAAAAAACGGACGATGTGGCCTGTAAAGCCCTAGCAGAGAGCATCATGGCCCCACCCACCCTTGGGTGGCCCCACGATCAGATTCCCCAGCCCCTTTGTCCGTGAAAAGGGCGGAGTGCCCTTAGTACTCACCCCAAACATGGGGGCCACCCTGGGCCCGGAGGATACTAAGCAACTGCACCCTGTGGCTTGGGGACACTCCCTTGTTTTAGGGCCATTGCTGCTACTGCCTTCTCGATTCAGGCCCCTGTAACCCCAAGGACTAAGAAGGAGGCCCGGCGGCTCACTGGGCTCAAATAAGAATGCAGAACCTCGCAGCCAGCTGCCCACAGGCCTCTCATGCAAACCGCACTTCGTGGCCAAGCACCCCCTGCACTGCCTGCATCGTGTTCCTGCCGGCTGGAGCCCAAGTCCAAGCCGCCTCGACTTCCCCACCCAATCAGAGCTGCGCAGATCTGACCAATCAGAGAGGCTCTATTCCGACCTCCTTGTAGCTTTCGCACCAATCAAATTGAGACGATTTGGCATCCTCATTTGCGGACCAATCAGGAACCGGGGTGGGGACTTCTGTCCCCATCAGCCGGCTCCCGGGCAGGCTTGGGACCATTCTAAACTTGGCTCCTGGGAGCTTGACGAATCACTGAGTCAAGGGTCTGCCAGGCCTGCTACCCCTAAAGGAACCTGCAGCTCTCAGGGCTCTGTCGTGGTCCGAAGGGTTGTCTGCTGAGGCTGGCCAGAGAGGTCCAGCGGTTGCTGGTTTGATGAAACAGAAAGCTCCGCCTCAGATGGAGTAGCAGCCCCGTCCTGCCGGACACTCTGAGGTTTCCACTCGCCACTGCAGGACAAGCAGCAAGCTGTCTGCCGACTGACAGGAGACCGGTAGAGAATCAGCAGCAGTGAGGGCGAGGGACACAGTAACGAGACAGCAGCAAGTGACAAAGTGCCACCCAGGGAGACCTGTACGCACGGCCCTGGGCACCTCGAGTGGCCTCACGGACCACGCAGGTCCTGCGTCTCCCGGGGCGTACACGACCCTTAGTTGCGGTCTGCAGGTTTTTCTCGTTGGACTGAAACTGTCCCTTGCAGACAGGCTGCTGCCTCTGCGGTGGCTAACGTCCTTTTAGAAAATGCGAGCCCACCCTGGGAGTCGCCCCTGTGTTCCGGGTCACGTGACCACCCCCCCCTCCTGCCCCGGAACAGGTTTGACGCTTCCGCCCGCTCCCCACCCTCCGAGCTCCAGTCTGGCCGCCTTACGTCTCCATTGGCAAACTGTGCAGAGGCCCTGCAAACGCCTTAGCCAACAGCATCGCTGTGGGTTCCTTACTCAGCTTCAGACCCGCTCCTTTGGGGGTCACCAACTCACCTTTGCGGTAATTACGGGATGCCCCATGCGCCTGTCTGGGTCCTGCCTCACTGCGAACGCAGGCCATGAAGGGAGACTCCCTTCAGCACCGCATGGCGCTAACTGCCCCCAGTGGAGTAACCCTGCTGTGGCGGAGCACGTTTTTCACTGCCCTCCAAGGAGGTGAAAACCCGTACCCCACACTCTGCAACCTGGAGACTTTACTGGAAAGGACACCTCAAAAAAGAGAGACTGTTCAGTCTCCCTGGAACAGCCCGTCAGGCATACAGCTGGCTGCGTGCCACCGAACTCCAGAGAGCATGGATTTGTTTCTGGAGGAAGCACCGAACCCGCCCACACCTGTCCACAGCAACCTGGGAGTGAGCGATTCCCGGAACTGAAGCCACTGCACCTGAGCCAACAGCTTTGGGAGGGGGGGGGAGGCGGGGGGGGGCTGCCAAGGCTGACTTGTG